TATATATATATATATATATATATATATATATATATATATATATATGTTTTCTGAGGTTCTCGCGGGTATTTGTATGTGGATCTTTGGTTATTCGGGTTTTCTCCCGCGTAAGATTCAAAGTATCTAGGCAACGTTTCGATGAAGTCTCATTCATCATCTTCAGGCTTGCTTCTTCGGCTCTGTGCTTCTCATCCTGGCAGGATGAGCGGAGGGTCCGGCGGGGAGGTGCTCGCTGCCCGCCAGGGCCGCGCCAGAGCCGTAAGGGCTGGGCAAAGCTGGGAAAGTGAGCCGCGGGTGTGTGCGTGCCTCCTCCTGCCCCTCGTTCCCAAATCTCGCCCGGGCTGGCGGGCGCTAAGCTCGCTCGTTCTCCCCACGTCGGGCTACGGGTGGTGGCTGTTTCCGCTGCGAGCGGCTCAGACCCGCTGCTGCTGCTCCGCAGCCGCCCACCTGGCCTTTCTTTGAGGTGGAAGAGCTCGCTGGGCTGAAGGGAGCGGTGCGTCAGAGACGCGCAGCGTAGGGAGGTCGGGGAGGAACGGAAGAGGCCCCGGGAGATTAGCCTCCCCAAGTGGGGTTGGGCTGCCCTCTCGGGCAGGGGAGGCTTTGTAAAATAATTCGCTTTACCTTCGAAAGCAAAGGGAAGACGGGAGCGCCTGAAGCCAAGTGTCTCCTCAGGGCTCCGGTTGCAGGGAGGAGCCCTGACTGGCCGCATGTGGCTGCGCCAAACGCCGCGGCAGCAAGGGAGAAGGGAAAGCAACGGTGGCCCGAACCCGAAGGTCTCCCGAATATCCAAGCTGTCGCCGCCCGCCCACCCACCCGAGGATGCAAGGGGGGAGAATTAAGTCACCCCCCGAAAAGACGTCCTAGCCGTTTTTTCGGGGGTCAAAAAAAAATAAGGCCTGGCCTTATTATGTGAGAAACACGGTATATATATATATATATATATATATATACACACACACACACACATATATACATACATACATACATACATATATATATATATACATATATACATACACTAGTACTGTATATTTATAGCTCTTTTGAAATACCTCTTTGCATTTTAATGGAACATAAAATGTCTTAAAAACAAACCATTCCCCCAACCATTGGTCACATTTAAGAAGTAAGGCTATATCTTTCGTTAAACTAAATATTTGGGGGGATATTTTGGGAATGTGGTTGACTGGCCCCTGATCTCTAATAAATGCATATGTTCACATGAAGGTATCGAAACGTATATTGGATAACAGCATCTAATGGGAGTTTGCTTGTTGGCTAAACAACAATCAGCAATGGGTACCGAGAATGTTAATTGTTCATAAACATTTCACACATATATATATATTTCAAATAATAGACATAATCTTCCTAGACATTTCAGAAACTGCTTAAACTTAGATGGCTCTGCTTAAAGGTTTTTTGTTTTGGTTTTGGTTGAAACCAAAATAATTTCCATGTCAACCCCATTTGGAATAAAATGTTTGTGCATGTAAATCTTTTTTGAGCAGTCAAGGTCGACCCTCTTGGCTAGGTAATGTATCTACTACCCAATTACCTTCATTGTCATTCACAATTTTGCAACTTTCCCAAGAAACTTTGGGCGACAGGGCCCAGTTTCCTTTTTCTCTCTTGTCCTTTAGGGGGTCTGTGTTCCTGTTTCATAATGTGGGAGTCACTGTAGTTCATTAATACCCACCATTGAATTTATACTCCGTAATCACAAGATCAGGGAAACAGCTCGTGATTGTAGCATTCCTAAGTCAACCCCAGGCTTGTCACTTTGGTTTGATCAAGGGTTCTGCAACTACAACTTTGCTGTCAATTTGGGAAGACACAGAATAGAATAGCAGAATTGGAAGGGACCTTGGAGGTTTTCTAGTCCAGTGGTTGCCAACTAGTGTCCCGGGGATTGGTGGTTCGCAAAGAAATGTCACCCTCAAAGCACCCCCCAAAGCAATTAACCCAGGCTGCGTGGAAACACAAGGCTTGCGTCGCTTGCATTGTGAACAACACAAGGTAGTGAGGAGCGGGGGGAAAGGGTGGAGGGGGGGAACTTGCCCCACTCGCCCCACATGCCTGGCCTGGCCACTGGGCTGCTTCTTTCAGCTTCTTTCTTCTTCTGCTTTTGGCTGCACGCAAGGAAAGCAGCAAAAGTCTTTCTTTCTCTCCCTCAAACTCTGCCAGAAATGAGTCTTTAGGACCCTGCAAGGCATCCTGCTCCAAAAGGCTATGCGGGCCCAACAAGTCTCACAAATTTCTGGTGGAGTTTGGGGGAGAGAAAGAAAGGCTTCCACTGCTTCTGCTGCTTTCCTTGCATGAAGCCAAAAGTCTCTCTCTCTCTCTCTCTCTCTCTCTCTCTTTGAGAACAGATCTGGAGACAGTATCCTGCGATCCCAAATAAAGAACGATCTATCAGTAGGAAAATGGGATGGGGAATTTTCCTGCAGAGTTTTTGTGGGGATTTTCCCAGGGTCTCTGGTCTTCAGGATTTAAAATTATGAATTTGGTGGTCCCTGAGGTCGACCCCTGTTCTAGTCCAACCCCCTGCTTAGGCAGGAAACCCTACACCACTTCAGACAAATCGTTGTCCAATCTCTTCTTAAAAACTTCCAGTGTGGGAGCAATTCACAACTTCTCAAAGCAAGTTGTTCCACTGATTAATTGTCCTAACTGTTAGGAAATTTCTACTTAGTTCTAAGTTGTGTTGTCTTGTCTTGTTGGAAACAATTTTTGGTGTTTAGCTATGGGATTGCCAAAGCCACAACAAAGGCCTGATTACTCCAGACGTAAGCTCGCTGCAAACAAACCTAAGTAAGGCCTGATTAGGGTTTCTACCATTGAGCTTGGGGACTCGGAGGTTTTTGTCTCCGTTTACAGTAATAGCCCTATCCCTTGGTTTCAAAGGAGGGCTTTCAAAGACATCGCCAAGATTTTGAGGTTTTGGCAAGGACCCCCAGACCTTCTGGCTTATATAAACAGTGACACAGAGAGGGAGAATCCCAAAGGTGCTTTTTTAAAGAGGCAACTGGACTTTCTGGTTTTTCTTTGAAGACCTTTTACTTCTCATCCAAGGCTCTGACCAGATAGTGGGGAATGGAAGGATTGATACTCCTTGCAGACAGCTGGTCATTTGCATCCTTTTTGAGGGTCGTTGAGGCCACTTGGAGGTTTGTCTGTGTCCTCAGGGTCACCTGAGTGGTGCAAATGGGTGTGGAGCCTTCTTGGAACTGCTGAAAGGACTGTGTTGTAGACTGGAGATAGATGATGTTGTATCCCTCCCCCTCTGTTGAGGGAGGGCTGTTCAATTTGGACATAGGTGGCCTCTTTGACCCCTTCTTTCAAACCAGTGGTCCACTCTGTCCAAAATGTGGATTTGCTGTCTTCAAAAGAATGGCCTTTGTCTTTTAAATTCAGATGGGCTACTGAATCTTATCCTGGTATTGGTTTCAATTCAGTTCCCCACCATCCAGTCAGAGCTGAAGAAGCTTCTTGGATGAGAAGTGAAAAATCTTCAAAGAAAAATTAGAAAGTCCACTTGCCTGTTAAAAAACACATTTGGGACAACCATAACCTGCAAGACTGAGGATCTCCATAGACAGGGAAGGAGAATATTTTTATGCTGCCTCCCAACTTCATCGATTTCGTGACTCCCGCCTTCTCCACAACCTGGTGGCTATTCTGAGATGTGGACGTCAACTTGCAGAGTTCTCGGCAGTCCAAAAACTCTTGTTGAAGAATTCTGCTTGGAGCTGAAGCCCAGACAAACTGAGGGATTCTTAGAGTACCTGACAACCTTTTTATTAGAATAGAATAGAATTCTTTATTGGCCAAGTGTGATTGGACACACAAGGAATTTGTCTTGGTGCAAATGCTCTCAGTGTACATAAAAAGAAAAGATATATTCATCAAGAGTCAAGAATCACAAGGTACAACACTTAATGATAGTCATAGGGTACAATAATCAATCAAATCACACTAGGAAGCAATATTATTGTTGGTATTATTATTATTGGTATTATTAGTATTATTATTGGTAATGGTATTACCAATAGAAGAAAATATTTGCAGCTCAGAGTTTAACTGTAGGGTCCTTGGTTCTCTCTGAGCTAGGGAGTACAGATGTTACCTACTTTGGTAATGAAATGTCTGCAAGAAAACTACTAAGTTTAGAAAGTAGGATGCTCCTCTTCCTCCTCCACTCCACAAACTCCACTCCCTTCTAGCACTGATGATGTTACCTAGTTGGGTCATGAAATGTCTGCAAGGAAACTACCAAGCTCAGAGAGCACCAAGGACCTCAGACCTCCTCCTCCTCCTCCTCCTCCTCCTCCTCCTCCTCCTCCTCTTGCCTTCTCTTGTCTACCTTCTCCTCCCCTCTTCACAGCTGCCCACACATCCTTTTCCTCTTCCATTTTCCATTCTTAATTTTATATAAGGATAAATCTAAGTAGCAGGCATGGTTACTCTGACCTCTGCAGTCTTTTGTTTATTTATTTTTTATTTTACAGTTTGGAAAGAGTACAGGAAAGACCAGTCTAAAAATATCAAGACGTTTTCGTTCATGAAACCTTATAGCTTGCCCTTGCTTTGTTCTGCCTTGACATTTAACATAACAATCCCACCCACCCCCCCCGCCCCCCAAGCAGGTAGGAATCTTCCTTAGTGGAATAAATCGAAGTTAATTCTCACTGTGGACTTTGTTGAACTCCTTTCCTTTCCTTTTTTTCTTTTCCTTTTTTTCTTGCCCTGCCAGGTTTTTGAATAAGATGCAAATCATCAGTTCTGTATTGCGTTCTCTCCCCTTGACCTCGCAGGTTGTGTAATGTGTAAAATCTCTCTCTTTTCTCCTTTCAGGTTTCCTCTCTTGGATATTAAGCTTTGCACCCCACGAGAATGACACCTCAAAGACTCCAGGTGTTGATTGGGGTGGTTCTTTGCTCTTGTTGTGTAAAAGGATCTTTGCAGCCTCAACCCAGGGTGTTCTTGACATTCAGTGGTAAGTAAATGGTTGTAGAACACTGTTTTTCCTTGGCATTTTTCTTCTTTTTTCTTCCTTTCCTTTCCTCTCCTTCTCTTCCCATTTTTCCTTTCTTTTCCTCTCCTCTCCTCTCCTCCCCTCCCTTTCTCTTCCCCCTTTCTTTTCCTCCCCCCTTTCCTTTTTTTTTACCTTTTTTCCTTTTCCCCCTTCCCTTCCCCTTCCTTTTCTTTCATTCTTTCCCCTTTCCTTTTTTAAAATTTCCTTCCCTTCCCCTTCATTTTTATTTCCCTTTCCATTCTTGCCTTTTTAATTTTCCATTTCTTTCCTTTGTCTATCTATCTGTCTTTCCTTTCCTTCTTTTTACCCTCTCTTCCCTTCTTTTATTTTCCTTTCCCTTACCATCCCTTTATTGTCTTCTTTTATTTCAATTCCTTTCCTTCTTCCTTCTTTCCTTTCCTTCTTCTTTTCTTCCTTTCCCTTCCTCTTTCTCTTCCTTTCCT